TAGATTTCGCATGTTTTCAAATTTGCTACATAATTCCCTTAGCAATTCAAGCATTTTACTTCTAAGTGTTAATAGAACTTTTTTCTAATATTATATACCATATACAAATATATTAATATAATATACTTGCCTTCATATAATCTATAAAAAGGATTCCTTTTACAATAAGCATTCTGATATTTAAATCCTTGACATTTCTGATATTGTATAATTAGTTTTGATTCATAGAATTATTCTACTCTTATATTACTTCCAGCAATATATAATCGCTTTCGAATAGTTAATTCTGCTTTTGATTTTGTAGCAAAAGCAATAACGATAGCATCCTCTCATTAATAGGCTTTTCTAGAAACAGGTGTAAATCAAAAGGGGGTTTCTATAAGCTTAAAGTCTGAATTAAAGGTTTTGATTTTGTTAAATATAAGATTTATTCCTTTTGTGCCTGAGAATTCTTTAATTGGGATTTTATGAATAATGACTTTGTATTATTCTTGATCCTTTTGAATTCTTTCGAATTTGATAATATTACTCCAAATCGCTTTCTTCTCCAATAAGAATTGTAATATAAAGAGATCATTTATTATAATAATAATATTATTATTAAAGAATATAATTACTACTACAATAACTAACCCTTTAATTCCAATCTTTTGAAAGGCTTTATTTATTTTATTTCGAATAATTAGAGAGGAAAAGAAGATAGGATTTGGAAAATCTAGCTTGATTAAGATAATTTGTTTTTGAATAAGATTAGATTTCTTTTTTATATTAGTAGATATAATGTTTTTCCCTTTAGGAACTAAATTCCATTCTCCTTTTTTTGAAATATTAATATATATTGATTTTAATATAATAATAATAGCAATAGTGGATGAAAGAGATTTAGCTAATGCTTTTGCTTGTAATTCGATTTTGTGTATAGCGATTTCCAAATGGGTGATTTGAGAGGTAATAATATTTGAAATTGTAATAAGCTTTCCCTTTTTAATATATTCTTTAAAGATTTCTAAAAAATCTAAAAGCTTAGATTATTCTTTACCTAATTAAGAGAGAAAGGAAGCTAGCACTATAAAGTCTCTAGCTTTCAAAATAACTTTTTTAAATATATTTGGATTGTTTTGGATTCTAGATTATTTATTCTAATTGCTAAAAGATATTGTAGGGCCCCGTTTCTTATTCTGATTAAATATATAGATAGTATTGATTATATCTTGAATAATAAAGAGATCACTAAATAGATTGAATTCTTTAAATCTTCTTCCAGAATTGACTGGCTGGTTGGTTAATAGAATAGAACTAGAGATTTCGAATTGAGGGTTTTCAGAAAGCAGAGGAGGGCTTGAAGATATTGGGGTATTTAGGACAATAATAGAATAAGTGTTTGATATAATAAAGGCTTCAGAAGAAGCCTTCATTATAATCGTATCCCTAAGTATTAATGGATTATTAAGAGAGCTCATATTGAGAATCTAGTTCTTATTCTGGTAATTCAGAGTAAGAAAATTTTATACGAATTTTCGTGTATATTTTGTATTCGAAGCGCCGACAACAATAGCACAACAATTACTGATCAGAATTACTGGAGAGCAATTGCAATCAATTTGGTTTAATAACTATAATCTAAATCGATCACGAACAGATCGTATTTCAAAAAAAAAGTTTCCTTCGAAATTTGTTGTGTGTCATATTTCGATTAAAGAGCTTAGTAAGATAGAGTATATAGAGTATAGATGATAATGGGAACCCCTAAGGGATATTATATATTATTAGATATTCCTTAGTTATAATACTTTCGAATTTTACTCTGACTTTTCTATTTATAAGGAATAAGTCTATCAGCTTGAGCAGTGAAGTTGGCTATCCTTGTTTGATTATTCGGCTCAAGAGTTAATATTTCAAGAGAGTATCAAAAGCTTTCTGTATATCTATAATAATAATCGAAACTATATTATTAATTGCTAATACAAGCTCCATATTATAAGTAAAGGCAGCTATTAGATCTGTTTCTAATCTTTTAAGAAACACTCTGTAGTATTATAGACTAATTACTTTATATCTCAAAACTATTCAAGATATTTGATTGGCTATATACTATTCGAGACTCTTTCCGATATAGAAGATTAGGGTTATTGGTTGTTATGACCATAGTGACATTTTGTTTTTCTTGCTTATCTTGAAAATCATTATTATTTCTATTAGCTTTTATTCTTCTGGGTAATAGTTTAGAGTTAGGTATAATGCAAATATCTCCTGGATTAGTAATTTGATACTCAGCTAGTATACCTTAAAAAGATATATAGTAATTTGATTTACTCTTGATATAGTATACAAGGCTCCTATAATGTACTTTTCTATCTCTTCAGCCGAAATCGTTTTTTTCCAGAAAAAGGTCCTTTTGTGTATTTGATTGTGTAATGAATCATTTAGAAGATTATCATCCGCCTTGAATCGATTCAGAATTGCTGTAAATAGAGTATTTGCTTTCTCTCTTGTATTACAGATTTCCTGTTCATTAATTATTAGAAAAAAGGATTTCGCATTACTTTCAGAGATTAACTTATACCATCCCATAATTCGATAAAATTCTTTATCATCCTTAACCCTATCTAGACATATAGTCCAATAGAATCTCTTGGCTTGTTACACTACTTTTTGTAAAAAGTATATAGTATAAGTCTTCCTTTCTAAATCTATTCCCTTTTATACTTCTATATATATTCAATAAACTTTTCTATATTTATTCATCCACTATAACAAGGTTTTCCCTGCCTTTTAATCAATTTTGCTAATTACTTGAATCAACTTGTCTAATGTTTTCGCAAATTTATTAATATAGATCTCAATCTTAATTGTAATCTGAATATCTATATTACTAAGATAGACTAGCTAATTGGCCATTAGTCCATCCAATCTCAGCAGATCCACCTCCTTTATCTAGTAATAGTACTGATCCCACTCTATTGTTTTGTAGTTCGCTAGATTGGTAATCTAAATAATATAATCAGATCTACAGTAAAGTCCTTCCAGCACCTCTGTGTAAGCGAATAGTATATTGAAGAAGGTTAGGTTTAGTATATGCCCTTTTGCGTGGGTAGATATGTTTAAGATATCTATAAACTCCATACCCTATTCATTTGCTTATATTGCGAGCTGCGCTTTTTGATTGACTACGATTACCCCCAATTCCTACAGTTTGTGCTTTATATTAAAGTCCTTTTCTATAATTATATATTCATTTGGGATTAAATATGTAATATAATTAATAATATCCAAAATACACAAAGCTCTATAAACATTTAAGATCGAATATTTATTAACTCATATCCAGAATAAATCTCTATTTTCGAATTGATTTATTTGCTCTACTTTCAAATGCATATTTTTTTATATATATATCATAACCCGAGGGCCTTATTTATTCTTTTTCAAGTCTTTCTAGAGATTCTAATTATCGATTAGCTAATATTGATTATATGTATTGTAATTTTGTGTGGTTGAATTCCAGTATAATCTTGGCTTCTGTAAATAGATTATATCCAGCTAAGCTTCAACTACTAGCTATAATAGTGTGATATAATTCGCGTGTCCCCAGCCTACATTCGCCCAAGCGATAGTGAGACCATCGTATGATCGAAGGTTTGTAGGATATACTATATATAGGTGAGAGTCATTGTATCCTACTCTATTCTTTATATAGATTCGTAAAGATATGGTTCTGTATTAATCCCATTCTTATTTTCTTTCTACTATCAAATAATTTTCATTTCCGTTTTGCTAATAATCCTTTATTTCAAGTATTTTTATAATCACTCTCTAATAATCAATTGTATATATCTTCGCTTTCAATATAGCCTCCGATTAGTGTACAATCACCACCCAGCTCCAGCTAACTCTACTTAGCTCTCCGATCGCATAATCGAAGGTTTGTAGGATATACCACATACAGGTGAGAGTCATCGTATCTCATAGTAGAATAGTAGTATAGATTCTAATATCGAAAAACGTCTAAGGCAATTGTACTTCAGGCACTGCTTATAAATGTATCTTCAAATGCGTCTTTAAATGTATTTCTATTAATTCTTTCAATTTAGTTAATTGATTTTATTATTATTATAGGGCCTAATCTAGAACTAATAATAGTATTCGAAAACTTTCAATCGCTTTAATTTAATTACTTCTTTTCTAATCGAATTTCCTTTTCTTTTGAGGTTGTATATTGGATTGAAATAGTTTTATAGATTTTCGTAAGCTTTCTTTCTAGTTTTCCTTTTCCATCTAACCGGAAAAACTAAGTTCCCCCTTACCCGGCCGAAACAACTAAGCTTCAACCAATTAAAAGTTTCACACATTATTTATAACCAATCAGAAGGAGTTTTATAAATCTGCAAATATAAAAATAGCCTGCTTATAGGAATATATGATTATGTAATAGAGTATATATTTACTTTGTTAGCTTCTACGAATCCAAAATCCTCGGAATAATAGTTGGGAAAATAACATTATATATATCATATTAAATTTATTGACTTTCTTTTTGTCTTTATGGTCTATGGTATCAATCTTCTACTACATATATACATGTGATATCTGTAAAAACACTTGGTATCGCATAAGTAATAGGATAGAACCATCTTTAAGTTAGGCTTATATATGATTGCTCGTTATAAAAACTTCAAGTGCAGATTTGGTATGTCATGTCGATTAGCTCTTACGTCCAGGTCAATCTTCTTATAAGTATATCGGGGCCAAGTTTGAACGCATCGGAGGCTCCCTAATACTATCTGAATAGGTCATTTTTATGGTTTATCAAATGCCTCAGTTCTATCCCTCTACACATTCCTTATCCTACCAAGCGGCTTAAAATGATTTCAGATTCTATATTTAAGAATTTAATGGGGATAAATCAACAAATAAGGTATTCAAGTCTATAAAATATGAGTAGAACAATAGCCAAATACAAGTACAGCTTTCTCTCCAAAATATACCTTCTGATCCACTTTCTAAAATCCTTCTCGCATCGTAACAAGACATTTATGTCCCTTAGGTCCAATCACAAAGTAATTCTCAATCTCCATTCCCTCATCATCTTGGATCGAGGCGATTCTAATTCCTTTGCACTCCCTGAAAAGTAAAGCGAGGATTAAGTATATTTCCATGTTTGCCAAATGCATACCAACACATGTTCGCGTTCCAGCACCGAATGGATTATTTGCCGCTTTAAAATCATCTGATTTGGGACCGAGCCAGCGTTGGGGGTCAAAGCTATGAGAGACATGCCATCAGTCAGTTATATATTTTTTGTGGAAAGAATGGAATATAGGTAGTTTTCAATATTCTGGGTTGTAGTCCAACAATTCAAGGCTTTCAGTCTGAAAATCTGGCCTTGGAAGCTGACTACAGCTCGGAGTAGTGAGTATTATGGGAGGGAGTGGATAAGACGTGAGTAGAAATCGGATAAACGCAGGGATAACTACCTGTCAGGCTCTGGAAAGATTTCCGGATCGCGGTGAATTGTGTAAGTTTGCGTGGAAACTGTCATAGATCCAGGGAGAAAATATCCATCGAGCTCAACGCCTTCTTGAGGAACAGTTCTAGGGAGACTCCCTGATCCCGCTCCCCATAACCTCAGTCCTTCTTGAATAACCGCATTTAACAACTGTAATCCTTCAACATCCTTGGCTTCAAAATCATTAGGTAAAGTGTCAACCTCGTCTTCTAATTGTCTCTGCAATTTTTGATTTCTCAAGATATGATATACCAAAAATGTAAGTGTCATAGTAGTCGTATCAGTGCCAGCGATGATAAATCCTGTAGCCTCCTCCCGAATATCTAAATCCGAAAGTGATCCCTCTATGCTATCCGATTTCGATTCGGAGAGTATTTTGCGGAATATGTTAGAAGTAGCATCACTCTGTGACCTTGCATTCTTGACTGCTAATGATGCATACTCATCTAATCGCTCTTTGGGAGACTTGAAGAATGAAAGACCTGACATCTCGCCAATCCTAGAAATCGTCGGAAACTCAGCTCTAATGCCGCTGACCATCATCACGCGTTGGAGATCCTGGATGTATTGGTTTTTCTGGAGTTGAAATGAACAATTAAGCATGCGGCAGGCAGAAAGAGAAGAACTTACCTGTTCACTTTCCAACATGTTGAAACTCTCTCCAAAACAGAGATGTCCCACGACATCTGTAGCCATAAACATAAAAAATTTCATAATATCTACTTCACCTGCCAGAGCATCTCTTTTGATTTTATTCACTGCCAGATTTGTCTTCTTCCTAACCTCACTCTCCCAATTTACTTTCAAAGAGCTCTTACTGAAAGCATGCGCAAGCAATTTGCGACGGGCAGCATGGTCTTTTGGATTGATCATACTAAAAAGATTTGGCAGTGCAGCCGTAAAGTTGCGATACCAAACAGATTTGAGGAAGGGCTTGGAGATGCGGTGGATTGTTTTGTAAGAAGTGAGTGAAGAACATGATACTTCGTCTGGAGCGACGAGGACTATATGACCGTATTTTTGATGGAGAGAATGAACATAATGGAGGCGATTACCAGTGATTGTATGGTATTTAAGGACAAGATGAGTGAGTCGTGAATACCACGGGCCGGGAATCTTGCGACGAGGTGTGAGGTATGCTTGATAAAAAACCTAGGGCAGGTTAGTTCGTGAACACTGATATCTCGAGTATAGCACATACTCTGACAAAAAACGCAAGGCAGATAATGGGAAAGCCTGTTCGTACAGTCTCGAAAAATTGAGACCAGGTGAAGAAGGCCATGTTGGAATAAGTTAGAGCAAGAGAGAAGATTGCCACTGCTTTTTGGTATCATATGTGGCGTTGAGGACCTCCTCTTTATACACAAGCAGTGTACAAGAATTTTGGTTCATTTCTCTCCTATTACCATAACTTCGCGTTTGTGAAAATATCTCGCGTAAACTGAGATATCGCGCGCACCAACTTATCACCGATCCTTGACTTCATGCATCTCGTAATTCGTTTTCCCGTCGAAACTCGTCAACGAAAAGTAAAATCTTGAGGATCCAATCCAATCCAATGCGAGGAGGAAAATTTACGAAGGGTTCAATCAGAAGAGGAATCTCGTGCTTAGTCATTAATATTCACACGCTTAAATTGTATAACAAAGATCTTATACGGGTCCTATTATGACAAGGATTCTACACTGACTAAAGACTAGATACCCCTATATGTACACTGTGACTGTATCCTACGGAGTATAGGCATTATCAGTTGTGCGACAGGACAGATATTCGAGTGGAAGAAAAGAGTGGGGTCGTATGGAGTTAGCTCGGACTCCGATTTTCCGTCGATTACCTTTCTAATTCCCTAAGGGAGAGTGACAATCACATCCACCCCAAAAGCTGCTACCACAATGAAACGGAGAATAAAATAGATTCTTAAGTTCCGATGGAAACAGGCCGTTCGCATGCCAATAAAAACCACATTTGATCCACCCCTTAGTGTACATCTACGTCTACGATATAGAGTGATGCCCCAGATTTTGATAAGAAAATGTCTTGACTCTTTTTAATTTTCTTGTCTGAATTCACAAAAGTTATAGCAAAAACCGACAGTGATACTTGCTAATGTTCGTACGCCACCCTGATCTCTTCTGCAGATTCAACATACTCTCCATTAACAATACTAACCAACATCTTCTCTCGCACAACCCACACACTCACATCTAACAATACATTTCCCAGCCCTAACTATTATTCTTAGGATTTTTTTCACACAACAAATTTCAAAGGAAACTTTTTCTTCGAAATACATCCCTTTCTCAATCAATCTAAATTATAGCTGTTGAACCAAATTAATTATAATTATTTTTAAGTGATTCTGATTAATATTTATTGCAATATTAATATTAATACTTTAAATACGAAAATCATACGAAAATTCGTACAAATTTTTTATTTTGAACTATTCGAATATATAATATGAATCATTTTAATAATCTATTAATACTCAAAAACATAATTATAATGAATGTCATGATCAAATCTATATAAGAGTTGATAAGGACATATAAATAGATTCTACAAACCTAATTCAGGCTGATACTAGTTCATATACAATTATAAATTATAGAATTTTCATAATTTAAAGAAATTAATAAAAAGTCTTTATATTATATTATATCTAATTGATTTATTATTAATATTTGTTTATAATAATTCTTTTTATTCTTTTATTTAAAGTAATTTATCAATTATTATTATTCAAGCTATTATTAATATTATTATAATCTCAATAAGAAAAATATCTAAAGATAGAGGAAATCAAGATTTGTATAATATAATTCTAATTTAATTAGATAAAGATATTAATTAATTTCTTTAGAGTATTGATAGTATTATTTAAATAGATTAGTAGTAATAGTCTGATATTTATTTATTTATTTATAGTGATTAACATCTATTATCTGACCTCCCAAGGGGTATTCTAGACGTACTAAGGAGCGGGCCTACGGGCCGCTAGCGTTCCAGCCGCTTATAGTAATGTAATGTTAGCTAATCAGGGGCTTGTTACCTCTGGTATTTCCCCGCTCAATACCGCTCATAACGATCCTGCAGCTATTCTGTCTAAGGGTTTGTGGTCCTGTTTCAAAGAGCCTTGTTTCGTATACCATTCGGGTATCGGCAAATAATCAGGTTGATCGCTATCGATTGGAAGAGTGTTTGGAGTGTTTATAGTTGTTTGGTACGAATCTTAGGTTGATTGGAGTGGAGAGTTTATTCTTGGGGTATTGGAGCAGATTGGAATTTATATAATTTCGTATAGTTTAAGCATATCCTAATATAGAATCTGGATCTAGCGAGAAGGTCAGTAAAGCTATATTGTATTTACAGAACGCGGTTGACATATGCTATCACATCCCATTCGGATCGAAGTCGATTTGGTGCAAGCGGCTAGTCGCTGTGTATCCGATTATTGATTGAACATTGAAAGAAATATAGTGGGCTTTTTCAATTCTATATGTATAGGTGTTTATACTATTTTTGTAATTGAATCTGATATGATAGGCTGTAAAGTTATCGTATCTGGTCCGCATTGCTATAAGTCTGTATAGTATTTTGTAAAAAAGCTTAAGGCTTTCTGACTCCGAGGTATTATATACCGGTTTCTATATATTATATATTTCGGAAATCAGGCCCCTTTTTTCCTTTCACTATCTGTTCTTGGAGTATCGATATTTAATATATAGGATAAAGCAGGAGCTGCTAATTGTAAGGAAACAGAATAAGCCAGAGTCAAGCAACCCAGCCGTGCCCTAATCAGCGAAGCAATTGGTTGCCTTGTTGTCCTTAATCTCAGTATGTCTAGAAAACCATTTGATTATAATCTTGTAGTATTATATTGCTTGATAGCATTTGTGATATATCTATTAAAGAAAACAACAATACTTCCTTATATTCCCCAAATTACTAAGATACTATCAATATATAATCATATTTATTCCTAATAGAAGTAATTAATAATGTTCAGGAGATATTCTAGTTCTCGCTATATGCCAATCGCTTTAATATCAAAAACATACAATTGTTTGTGTATATAGCTATAGCTAATATCGATTTATTACTTATTGCAATAGATTATAAAGCTATATCCTATATAATAATCATGTTTGTTATATTATTCAGATCTATTTGAAAATATAGAATAATCTTTTTGAAAGATTAAGTCCCATCATTTCTTGAATATTTTTACAATATCCTCTTTATCCATACCATTTGTTAGATCAATGTGATATTCGGAAGAAAAGTGAGGCTGTAAGAGTTTGAGGCATTCGATAACAGAGATCGCTTATCCTATTCTTTATAGTTTTGTATTGGAATCTTTCAGAGTATCTATATCTCGTTCTCTCTTCCTAATGTATAGTTTTAATCAGTTTATAAGTAGATATTGTGTATCTACTATCTGAAGCTGAAATGCGAATCTCAGTCTGGCTTACTTTAGTATAATAATTCCAATTGGGAGATTAGCTTTTATAAGGAGTGCGATCGTCAGAATTGTTTTGTAGATAGGTAAAACTCCCTGTGCTGCACTATGAATCGTCTTGTTGATTAAATCAATATATTTCTTAATCCCGATGCCGACTGGAATATGGTCTGCATTTGGGTATTGTTTGTATAGCCCATTAAATCATATTTCGAAGCCAAAGAGAGCGATAGGGAGTATATAGGTAATAATCGCTTTTCGCAAGCAGACTGCAGATAGTCCGTAAGCTGTATAAGCTATTAATCGGATATAGAATGTAATACGCATAGCTTTCGTGGTGCATGTTTTGATATGTTGTAGGAATGTTAGGCGTTAATCAAAAAAGATGCCAAGCTAATGTAAGATCGATTATACTTTGTTAGTAAGCTTTAAAGGGGTTGGTGTAATGACTAGGTCTTGATTTATCTTTATAGCTGGGTTTGCAATTTTATGCTTTCTCGATATATAAAGTAGCTCAAACTTTTTCGGAGCGAAAAAGACTTTATTCTGATCTCCTCATTGTAGGATGCATCGAACGGTTCAGCAGAGCATATATGTATTCGTAGATAGATTCTTAGATATATAGTATATAGCTATATCGTTAGCATATCCGAAACGCTATGCTTTATCTTGATTGAGAAGCTTAGTAAGATAGAGGGTGTATAGGATAAAAGAGAATAGCGATCCCTGGGTGTCGGGATATCGATCATGTGATCTAAGAGGGCACTGTATTGCACTAGCGTATGTACTAGCGTATACACTAGCGCTAGCACTTCTACTATATCAAGTACTAGCTTCCCATAGTTAATAATGATCAAGATGAATAATACAATCAATTATATTAATAAGAATGAAGTACTTATACTTTAATCAATACTAAATTGATATCAACACTAATTAGTAATATCACAAATTAGGGCCTTAGATTCTACTAAAAAGCACTAGGTGTTTAAAAATAGTATTCAGAATTGATAGAAATTCTGAAGAGACTACAAAGAAAGATATCATTGTACTGGGTACAATACACTTTCTCTTTTGTTATACTAAAGAATATACTTTGAATAATTGTATCAGAAAAACATATTCAAAAGAATCGATTGATCAAATGTAACAAATCGATTTTGTATCCATCACGCATTCACCTTTGTATTACACATTGTACAAAATAAACCCTTTATCTAAATACCTTTCATATACTCTCTTATACCTCTTATACCTATAACCTATTTATAACCTTCGAAATACCTACAATCTTCGAAATACCTTTATACACACCTTATCATATCGGACAGCGACAATACTCCAATCACCTCTAAAGTTATCAGCAAGGAATTATATACGGAAAAGGAAGAGGAGCACTACAAAAAATGATTAACCTATTAAAGGAATAATAGGCTGATGGTGGAATTGTTGATTTTGATTCTAAGGAGTTCATCAAATACATCAAATTCAAGTGCAAGCAATACAACTATAAGGATATCAATAACAACGAACTAGCCAAGGTCTTTTATAATGACTTCAGCATATTCACAAATAAGCAATTCGCAAAGATCCATTAGTTAGATGTATAAAAACTATGTATGGTATTATGTGCCCGAGGGGTATGGATGCTGAAATTAGGTGTTAAAGCATCTATAGCTTTATACGACTAATCATGTAGGTTTATTACAGATGTGTGGACGAAAGACCAAATTCAAAAAGTTCTAAAAAATCGTAATCTTAAAGAATCTAAGTTTAGATTCGGAATAATCAACAAATTCATTGATAACAACTTCGAA